TTAGTTCTCGGCGGACACAACATCTTTGTTGGTATGTGGTGCTGAGGATCGAACCCGGGCCGCACGCATGCCAGGCGAGCGCGCTACCGCTTGAGCCACGCATTCCCAGCCCTGTACTTAGTTTTCAAGTGTATTAATACCCAAGATCCCCTGTATGGGGATTCAGATGGAGGGGGGATGTGCAGAGTGTGTACTGGTGGGAATGCAGTAGTTGGATCTTTAATATTTTGTTTCTGAAAAATTGCAAGCATACAGAAAGCAACAGTGGATACTCAAAAGTCAGCCTTCACATATTCAACAAACACCCGTCACTGCCCTGAGCCAGACTTGTTAAGCACCAGGAGTCCCACAAAAGTATAGTCAGGGGGCTGGGAATATAGCTCAGTTGGTAGAGTGCTTGCTTGCATGCACAAGGCCCTGGGTTCAATCCCCAGCACCACCACCAAAAAAAAAAAAAAAAAAAAAAAAAAGTATAGCCAGATATCTGCCTTTCCCAAACTTGGGGGTTATGAAAATTCTGAAAGGAGTACAGCTTTGTGGCTGGGAGGCCTAATCTGAGCTCCTCTGCCACTTGGGTAAGTCAGTCTCTCCCAGTCTCATTTTGGTTACCTGTCAAGGAAGAATGCCTTTTTATGCCTCACGGTTGAAGGACACGTAAATATGCACACATACAAATTGTATATAAGTGCTTTATAAGTCAGGTACCCTGTTGTATACCTAATCCCAGAAATTTGGGAAGCTGAGTCAGGAGGATTGCAAGTTTGAGGCCAGCCTCAGCAAATTAACAAGACTCAGCAGTTTGGTAAGGGTCAACCCCCAGTGCTAAAGAGCGGAAAAAAAAAATTTTTTTTTAAGTACATAATGCACTTTGGAGACAATGCACATACAATTTTTGATCTTACTTTTTTTTGGAAGGATGGGTACCAGGATTAAATTCAGAGGAACTCGACCACTAAGCCACATCCCCAGCCCTATTTTGTATTTTATTTAGAGACGGGGTCTCACTGAGTTGCTTAGCATCTTGCTAAATTGCTGAGGCTGGCTTTGAACTTGCAATCACTTGGCTCAGCTTCCAAAACTGCTGGGATTACAGGCATGCACCACCACATCTGGCTTAATCTTACTTTTTTAAACCTTTCTGGCAAAGCATACAGAAGCTTGTGCATAACATAAGATGGGTTTTTGTCACCTATGCATCTGTATAACCATCTGTCAAGTCAGCTTTAAGACCGTTACCAGACCCAATACTGCCTTTATGTCCCTTCCCAAGCACTACTAACCCTCAGAGGTAGCCTTAAAGCAGCTTGGGTAAGTTTTGTCTCTCTGCTTGATGGAAATGGCACTACATACTCTTTCCTATTCAGCATATTGCAGATCAGCAAATCTACCTGTTGATGGTCTGTACTGGGGTAAAGACACCATCGTTAAGTTTTAGATCATGAGGCAATTGGAGGTACAAAAACAAACCCTCTGTGTCCCCACTCCTAGCTGAGCTTCCTGTCCCCCAGAACCTCTAACTTCAGTACAAGACAGAGATAAGCCCAGGTTTATGCAGCTCTAGCAGGCCAAATTGGAAGACAGCCTCAGGCTGAGGAACCCAAGACCCTTGGGAAATTTGCTGATCCTTGAAGAGGGACACTGAGCCTGGAAATCGGAGACCAGGGGTCCACTGGGCCTAATGTGCCCTTCTCATCCACCCCCTCCTCCGTAGACCTGGCCTTTTGCAGCCACCTTTTTTGCCATCATAGTCCTCTGAACCTCCCCTCAAGTCCCACACTTCTCTAGTTGAACAGAACTTCTCAGGATGCCCACTAATCTAGCCTTCATAGGAGGGCTTCCATTCCTTTTTGCCCTTTTATGCCTAGAGCTGAATCAGAGATACTGAAGTGGGGCAGGAGCAAAGTTGGATGCCTCTTTCCTGTCCCCATAATGGGACATTCAGGGAGTTCTACCTCGAACAGATGATAGACAAACCAAATACTTTGCCCAAACATTTATTTCTAAGGAACACCTGGGGACTTGGGGCAAGAGAGGGAACCTGGGAGGCAGAGTGGGAGTAGGGGAGAATTAACCAAGAGGAGGAAAGTCCAGTCTGGGGTAGTGACTTGAGGAAGGCAGGGAGGGGTAGTATAAGAAATTGTAAGTTTCCCTGGCTGAACCCAGGTAGAAATCAGAAGGGTGGCAGGAAACTGGCAGTTTTCTCCAAGGTTCTTGGTAGTCCTTCTAATGAATGTTAGAGTACTTTATTTTTAGGGTCGTTGCAGAAGTCCAGGAAGCAGCATTGAGAGTATATCCAGAAGCCAGACACAGGAGAAGAATGAGTATATGAGCAATCACTCATCTGCTCCTGGCTGCGGCAGTCATTCACCAAGATGTCAGAACCACTGCCTATGGAAGGACCACAAACTCCAGTGACAAGGAGGTTCCCATGCAGAGTCCCATTCTCACACCCTCTTCCCCCAAATAGACTTCCCTGGGTCAAAAGAAAAGACTCCTAGAATTGGGTAGGAGTGGGAAGTGTCCAGTGGGTCACAAGCCACACAACTCTGAAGTTTCCCGAGGAAGGTTGAAAGAAAAGAACCATTTAAAAATGTAACACTAGAGGAGCCAGGACTAAGTTGAGGTCTGTAGAGCAAAATGGGGAGAACAAGCACCCATTAGAGGGTAAAAGTAATAAAATAGGGTGATGATGTCTTTGATATAATGTATGTATTAAAGGGGAAAAAAAGCTTTGTGTCCCTGTCCCAAAAAGTCATACACAAGGATATTCACTGCTACCCTGCTTGAGAGAGAAAAATATTAGAAACAGCCTAGATGCCTATCAATAGTAGGATGAATAAATCAGCTTTGATATGCCCACTGCCATGAAGTACAGTGGAATACCTCAACAGAACAACAAAGCTGTTTATAACCTGATATGGAAACATTAAGTCCTCATAACTGTCAAATTTAAAAAGCAAATGCAGAACAGTGTTTATGTGTTTATCATGGTCTGCTACTGTCTGGGAGAAATAAAAGAGTGAATAAAAGAATATGGGGGCCAGGCAGTGGTGCATGCCTGTAATCCCATTGGCTTGGGAGGCTGAGGCAGGAGGATTTCGAGTTAAAAGCCAGCCTCAGCAACTTATAGAGGCACTTAGCAACTCAGTGAGACCCTGTCTCTAAACAAAATATAAAAAAAGGGCTTGGGATATGGCTCAGTGGTTGAGCACCCCTGGGTTCAATCCTTAGTACCAAAAAAAAAAAAAAAAAAAAAGCATATTTAGGGTGAAATGTGCACAGAAGATTGCAGACAGGATAAAGTAATGAGAGAACTAGGGAATACAGCTTGGTCATATAGCACATGTCTAGCATTCTTAAGGCCCTGGGTTCAATGTCCAGCATGGCTGAAAAAATTTTTTTAAAAATTTTAAAATGTAGTGGAAGGATGTAAATGAAGGCAATTTCATGCATTGGGTGTTAAGAACACCATCCGTGGAGCCACTACTTCTGACCCAGCCTCTGAGATTCAGGCAGATTTTTTTTCTTTCTACATCTTTATATCCCTATCTGTAAAGTGGGGATAATATACTGCCTCATAAGGTTCCAAAATAAACAGTACCTGACACAGAGTGTGTGTGCTGTCTTTGTTAACTTAGTAAAGGTAGGAGAAAGTGGTGTGCATCTGTAATCCCAGCACTTAGGAGGCTTTGGGAGTTGGAAACCAGTCTGGGCAATATAGAGAGACCATGTCTCAAAAGATAAATAAATAGCCAGATGTGGTGGCAAACACCTGTATCCCAGTGGCTTTGAGGCTGAGGCAGGAGGATCACAAGTTCAAAGCCACTCTCAGCAATTTAGCAAGACCCTGTCTTAAAATAATAAACAAAAAGGGCTGGGGATGTGGTTCAGTGGTTAAGCACTCTTGGGTTCAAACCCTGGTACTAAATAATAATAAGGAAGGAAGGAAGGAAGGAAGGAAGGAAGGAAGGAAGGAAGGAAGGAAGGAAGGAAGGAAGGAAGGAAGGAAGGAGGGAGGGAGGGGAGGAAAGGAAAAGAGAGAGGGAGGGAAGAAAAGCAGGCAGGGGACTAGGTGGAAGAACAGACTTGAGGAAAGAAGGAATGTGGTCAATTTTCGGCAAGTTGAAAATGAGGTAGAGATGTCCAGTAGATAACAGGACACAAGGAAAGTGGTTCAGATCCAGGAGGAAGTACTCTGTGGCTGCTGGTTGAAGCCAAGGAAGCAGATAATGTCCTCTAGGAAGAGCTATGCAGTGGGAAGACAGCTAAGGACAAAACATGAATCACTGAGTCTCGGGGGGATAAGGCAAGACAGTGAAGATCACTATGAGGACCAGTGGAAGTTTCAGAAGAGTGACACATATAGGAACTATGTGGATAGCTGGGGAGCAGGCAACTTGAGGAAAGGCCTATACCTCTGGAGATCTCCAGGGTCCCCTTCAAACCTGGGTGCCAAAGAGGGTAGGAGCCAATCAGCTGTGGGTTGAGGAGGGAAGCTGGTGGAAGTGGAGATAGGGAGTGATTCTGAAGGAAAGGGATGGAACAGTGTCCTACGGCTATAGGAACAGGACTTGGGGTACTGTTTAGGAGGCTGGGAGAGGCTGCTTAAGAGGGCTGGGCCCATGGTGGGAAAAGGCAGCTTACTGTTCTTTATATGCAGAGTGAAGCAGCTGCTGCCAACTGGAGTGAGGCAGATGTCTGATCCCAGAAGGCACCCCAACTCCTTGGTTTCAAAGAGACATCTATAGCAACGCAGGTATTTGGGGAGATGAGGTGGTTGAGGGGGTCCCGGATTGTCAGGAACGAGCTTACCTAGAATACAGAAAAGCAATGACCCCAAACCCCTCATACCTGATTCTGGGTTGGCCAATCCCACTGTCCTCTCCCCACCTCAGAAAACCATAAAATCCCTGATTCTTTAAATCCATTTGGTTTAGTATAGCAGAAGCTTTAGTCCTTATTAAAAAAATCTTTGTTCTCTCTTCTTTTGCCTCTAAAGGTGAGAATTAATTAAATCACTTATTCATTCATTCAACATGTATTTGAAGAGCTAACATTTGCCCAGCGCTCAGTCTCTCTCAAATTCACAGGTGAGGCTGAGACAGCCCATACCAGCTTTGTACAGCCCTGTTAGGGCAGTTCTTCCTCTGTAACTTTCTCTCTAAATCCTCTGTCCCCCAGACTCTTTTCCAAACATGCTTCATTTTATTTGTGATATTAGGGATTGAACCCAAGGCCTCACACTTTCCAGGAAAGCTTTTTTGTTTTGAGACGGTGTCTTACTAAGTTACCTAGGCTGGCCTTGAACTTGCAATTCTCCTGCCTCAGGATCCTGAGTAGCTGGGAAATTCTCCTGCCTCAGGATCCTGAGTAGCTAGGATTACAGGTGTTCCCCAACATACTTGACATGAACTTTTTAAAATCCATAATGCTGAGAAATAAACAAGAGTGCATCACAGGCCAGAAAGACTATGCTTCATGCAGACAGGGGACGTCAAGCAGCCCATGCCACATGCTTTGTTTTTGCAGTCCTATCACAGGAGAGGCCCATATTAAACTTTGTCCACTCAATACCCATTCTCTCCCTCCTTCCCCAACTACATGTATATACATCCCCCTCTTCCTTTAGTCCTCAGCTCAGACCAAACATTAATGAAACCTCAGACTCAGCAGAGCACTTGGGTGAGGCAGAGGCAAATACTAAACAAACACTTTGAATCCTGTTTCTCTATAGATGGTGCTTTCATCCCAGTAAGATCATCAAACAGAATTTAGCCTAGTTCTACTTTGTGGATTCTGCTTCCATCGTTGGAAAAGTACTTTCTCAAACTTCCCTATTCGGTTGTCCTCAGATTTGGATAGAATTCCTTCAGTATCTCCATTCAGATCACTGTCACTAAGTGAGCCAGCCATGGGGCAGTTCCTAGAAAAGATCCTCAGGGTCAATATCAGTCCTTAGGCAAACCCAGGTATTTCCCTACCACACCTGTCCATTGCATCTTTTCTGCTGCCTGGGTTTACCTAAGCATCCTGGGCATATGTGCCCAGACAATCAGTTTATTTATTTCTCCATCCAGCAGGCCAGGAAACCCTTCTGAACCCTTGGAGCCACTTACCAAACACCAAGCTCATCATGACCATCACTATTAAGAAGATGCTGTACAGGGATTGGGGGATGCTGTGGAGGCTCAGAGGCCCCAGACTCAAGCTCCCTGAAAAGCCTGCCATGAAATGCACCACTGCCCTCTGGCCTCTGTTCTGGGCTTATATTGGTGGAAAAGAGGTTGGCCAAGAGGAAGGAGAGAGGCAACACATTTAGGATGGAAATCAGTGCCAGAACAGTCAGATCAGAGTGTCCTCACCCACAGCCACTCCAGATCTTAATCCTGCTTGGGGCAGGGACCCAGAAACAGAAGAATGAGAGGGAAACTTTTATATTAATTCATCAGGTGTTTATTGATTTACTGCATCAGATGTTGAAGATAAGCAGTGTCCAAAGCCCCAGCCCTCACAGGACACAGTCTAGTGGAGGAGATAAGTCAACAGGCAATGGTGGGAAGAGGCAGAGTGCTGCTGGGAGCACATGGATAGTAGAAATCACTATCCAGAGGGATTTCAGCAGAAGAGAAAGGCGATCAGATTTCTCATAAAAGACTGCCATTGTTTGCCTGTAATCCCAGAGGCTTGGGAGGCTGAGGCAGGAGGATCGAGAGAGTTCAAAGCCAGCCTGGGCAACAGCGAGGTACTATGCAACTCATTGAGACCCTATTGCTAAATCAAATACAAAATAGGATTGGGGATATCATTCAGTGGTTGAGTGCCCCTGAGCTCAATCCCTGGTGCAAAAAAAAAAAAAAAAAAAAAAAAAAAAAAAAAAAAAAAGATTTCCATTGTTACACATGGGAGAATGGGAGAATGCAGGGAAATAGGGAGCTATTCCCGAGTTCAGTCACAAGATGGCGGCCTGGTCTCGCTGAAGAGAATGAAAGAACCTGAGCATTTAGAAAAAAGATTGTACAGATTTGGTGTATGAATGAGTAAGTGAAGGAATGGGGAATAGATTCGCACGAGGAGATGACTGGTAGTATCATTTTCCAAGTACCATGTCTTTCCAAAAGCGGGAATATCTGGATCACAGAGAAACAGTGACACTCTCCCCACCCCTATTCTCAGACTGGTGCCCCCTTGAGGTTCCGGGGCACCTTCTCCCCCACCACCCCTTTTATTCCACCCCCGCCCAAGCTCAGCTGCAGGTCAGTGAGTCTAATCTCCGGCTCCTACATGTTCCCGCGCCGTGCGTTCTCTCTCCGCGCCTGACTGCACCTTAGAATTCTCAGGAGGATGCGGGGGCGGCCCCTGCCCAAGCACAGTTCGCTTGGCGTCAAGCCAGCGCGAGCAGCGCGCGGGGACCCAAGGGTGAGCCAGCGGACACTCTGTGCATGAAGCGGCTTACCCGGAAGGTGGTGCTGTAGTACCACCGTTCCTCCGGGTAGATTCCGGAGTCCGCGGCCCCAGGGCCCCCGCCCATTTCCTCGGCGCTAGACCTGCCGGGCTCCCCCACTTCACCAGCTCAGTCCCCACCTCCTTAGATCAGTCGCAGATAGACTCAGGGATTTTACTTTTAAGGACACTGGGCTTAAAAGTAAGGACACTGGGAGGTCCTCGGCGTCCAGGACGACATCACCTGCTCCGGTTTCCCCTTTGGAGGTTTGGGGCGGGGTCCTGAAGCCGGATTCTCTGCTAATGCCCTGACTACTCAAGAATCACGCGATCTTGTAGTGTTGATGGGGAAGATGGTAAGAAACCGACAGGAAAAGCAAGGACGGGTCCCAGAAATAACGGGATGGAAGAAACACTAGAGAAAAACGCACGCTACTGCGCGCCCCACCCTACCCGTCTTGGAATGAATGAAATTTCAACGCTCTATTACAGAACGAAGAACTGGGAGAGAAGCGTCTGTCACCTGTTAAATGAGGGAGTTCATGGAATAATAAGGAAAAAAAATAAACGAGCGAGGGCTCCTCTGGAAGCGAAAAGGGCAAAGCGGAGTCAAAGGGAAATTTTACGGAGCCCTCAGAACCCCTTTATCGAATATAACCGCACCGAAAAGGCCAAACTAGGAGCTAAGCGAAGCTTAAGTAGGGTACGAGAAGACTTGCCCCGTAGTAAGGTTACAGCCCCGCAAGCTTTGAGCAGAACCTATAGGAAGACCCGGGAGTGGAGGGCGGGTGCTTGGTGGGAGCCGTCTCCGCCGGACAGACAGGGTCTCAGAATCATTAGTCCAGCCCCTGCTTCTTTTTATTCCTTGCCTCCTTCATGCGGCAGGGCGGGGCCGCACACGCTAAGCGCCGCGAGAGTTCGTTTTCGTGGTGATGGATTCCACCGAAGCTTTCCTGGGGTACAGAGGTGGGGCGTTGTAGCAGTCGCTATGGTGATAGCAAGGAACGAAGGCATCCAAGCACATTGTTCCTCCCTCCGGACTAAGGACGCCTGGGGGTAGGCAGCCGAGTGACGAAAGCGAGGAGGTGGGGCCTGAGGACTGAAGGCCACAGTTGGAGGAATCCGGCTTGGCAAACGAAGGGCGGGGCCGTAAAGGGGTAGGCTCTGCGAGAAAGGTGTTTTTTTTTTCCTCCCTTTCTCCTTATTTATTAGTGTTACTGAGATTCAAGCCTAGGGGCACTTTGCCACTGAACTACATCACCAGCCCTTTAAATATTTATTTATTTATTTACTTACTTACTTATTTTACCGGGAATTGATTCCAGGATGCTTTACCACTAAGCTACATCTCCAGCTTTTTAAAAATTTATTTATTATTATTTTGAGACAGGATCTCGCTGAGTTACCCGGGCTGGCCTAAACTTTGTGATCCTCCTGCCTCAGCTTGGAATGAGGCAAGTTCTGTTGAGGGATTGCAGAACTTTAGACTGGGTCTTTAGATTGGCTTCCTGATTGGATGGATGATGGATGGATGGATGGATGGATGGGGACGTCGCTACCCGCAAAGTCTGAGCCCCACCCCCTAGGGATCCTTCACCAGAAAGACCCTCACTTACTTGTGACAGCTTTGTGGAGAGACACATGCCCCTCCGGGGCTTGTGGAGCAAACTCTCAAACACACAGCCCAGCCCAGAGCCAAGTCAGAACCTCACACTTGGAGCAGCTGAAGGCAAAGCTTGGGTCAATGAGATAAGGTAGGATAAAGCATGGCCCTGTCCAGGGATCTGCCCCCTTCTTCCCAGGTTTCCTGCCAGACTCTAACTTGCCATGTAGCCTCCACTCTCATGCCATTTTCCCAGCTCCTCAGGTGCCTGGGTATTCAGGCCTTGCTTGGTGCCCAGTAGAGGATCCAGAGAGCCCCAGCAGATGTGTGGTGGGCATCTCAGCTGACCTCTTCTGGAATCTTGCTATATAGAGTGAGGAGTGGACCAGGAGCTGGTCCCATCCTAAGATGAAGGGTGGTTCTATTTAGCTACTCTGACCTTATCAGGTGTGGAATAATCTGACATAGACTGAGGCTCCTGAGTGGGGTACTTTTAGGAAAATCAACATGTTGGTCCTCCCCTACCCTTACCCATTTGGGGAATCCAAGGGTTCCCTCTTGTCATCCACTGTTCTCTATAGTATGTGTAGAAAGGTGGGGCAAAAGTGGCTTTACTGAAAGTCTACAATGTCCCTAATGCCTATATAGGGCTAGGAAATGGGAGTTCTTGTCTCCAGGGTATGGGAGACAGAAATGGGTACCCCCTATTTGCACTTAAGAAGCTTTCCTTGGCTGAACAAAGTCTTTGTTTCCAAGAGATTAACTGTCCTGATGCATCTGGGAGAGTGAGATTCAGAACCATGCAGCTGGTCCCACAGCTTCCTGTTCCCATCCCATTACCCCCTGGGATGAGACAGAGGAGAAGGGTGTCAGGATCAAACTTGCAAAAGGCACAGCATTCTGGAATTATAGTCACCTCCCCTCTAACCCCAAATTTCAGGCCCATATCACCTGATACGTCTCAGATCTCCCTTTCCTGTGGAGAGGGAATACCCTCTTAAGGAGTTGCTGAGCTGCTGGGGCAGACACAGCCTCTGTCCCCCAGATTAGAGGAGGGTCATGCATTGGAGTTGGAGAAGACACAGAAATCAGCCAGAGACTATAATTAGAACATCAGAACATTTTCGCTCATGTTAAGCATCTTATACCTAACGATGGTTACTAGGTAGTATAGTAAACTTGGGGGTATATCATCTGAAAAACAGAAGTTTCTGAGGGAAGAAGGTAGCCAAGCCACAAACTGTTGGATGGAAGAGGAATATATTCTGTTACATAAGGTACAAGGATTAGAAATTTTTGGGAATCGATTTCCTCAGGTTAAATCTAACAACTTTATTTTTCTTTCCTTCTTTCTTTCTTTTCCTTCATTATTATTATTATTATTATTATTATTATTATTATTATTTGCAGCATTGAGGATTGAACCCAGGGTCATTCTACCACTAAGCTATATACTCACCCCTTTTTGAGACATGGTATCCCTAAGTTGCTCATGATAGCCGTAAACTTCAGATCCATCATCTGCCTTAACCTCCTGAGCCACTGGGATTACAGGTATGCACTACTGGATCTGACTAACCTAAGAATTTTCTAACAGAGCTGTCCAAAAGATAAAGCATGGCTCTGGGAAGACAGGTGTCCTTGGCTCCTGGCATTAAGGTCCCTGGCAAGCTCTGTGTTGAATTGCAAAACTGGGAGGACAGTTTTGATGACATGGTGAGGAAAGTGGACAGGTTTTGCTGCATAAGACTCCAGAAAGAACAGACTACTTCTCACTCCTTGTTGGGATGAGAAGAGCTGAGCAAGGATAGCTGTAGGGGCTGAGAGTGACACCATACAAACTGGACCTGGAAATCAGCAGAGAAGTTGAATAGGTGAAATCAAATACTAGAAAACACTTTGTAAACAGGTTATAAGTTAGAGGGGGCAACCACAGGCTCCTAGGGCTGTGGTATGCAGGAGAGACCGAGGAAGGAGGAAGGAGAAGCTAGGGAAGCTGTACAGCTGTGATAACCCTAGGCACTCCAGGGAAAGGTTAGGCTTTGGGACCTGCTGCATGAGGACAGCTCAGATTGTGGTTGAAGGCCAAGGGGTACACAGAGATGGGGAAAGTTAAGCTAATTGTCTGGAATTATGGTTTTCCCAAAGCCTGGCCCTTTGGGGCCTCTGCTCTCCCCAGTACCATCCC